GGACAAGGTTGCCCTAACCGCCGGAACTGACCCTGCTCGCTTTGTCCTCCTCCTCCTCCTGCTCCGCCTCCTCCTTTTTGGGCTCTGCCTCAGAAACCGGTGGATCGCTTGGACATTGAGCCAGGCTTGACGGTGCAGGTCTTGTCAGAAAACTCGGCTCGGAGGAAGGCCCCCGCCAACGGCGCATCCGCCGGGTCGAGGGCCCGAAACAAGGAGGATTACGAGTATGGCGAGGACTACCAGCCACCGGAGGAGATTTCCGAGTACTATGAGTACGAAGAGTATGCCGACGGGAGTGCCACCGCCGGCGGTGCCAAGCGCCCGGCATCGAGGAGCCCCGATGAGCCCATCCTGGCCGTGGATTCCCCTTCGACCCTGGAACAACAACGGGCTGAGCGTTATCTGGACGACCTGGATGCCAGTGTCCCGGTCGTCGGCCCCAGCAGTCTGGACTTGCGAGCGCTCCAGGGCCGCATTCGGGCTATTCGTGTGTCTCCTGCGGGTGCGTCCTCCCCCTCCCCGGCGGCTGTGGTCGAGGCGAGCCCGGGGACTTTGCCCCCGGCCCCCTTGACCCTGTCTTGGATCTCGCGCGGACTTTCCTTCTTTCTTTCTTTCTTTTTCTAGCCCTCTTGGCGCTCGCGTCTCCTGCCCTTTGCTCATGCCCGGGCCTTTCGCGCTCACCCGGGCCCCGGTGCCGTGCCCCCGGAATATCGCCCTCTTACCCTTCCCCCCTTCGCCTTCTTCTCAAATGCAGACGGCGTCACGCTCTTTGGGCAGCCCAACTTCCGGCGGCCGCTGGTGTTCCTCCCTCCGGGCAAGGCGTACTACCTGTCGGACTTGCGCCAGCCGACGGCACACACCACGGCCACCGACCGAGGCGATCCACATGCACATGACGAAGGGCGCTTCCTTTCCGGAGAGGGGCTGCTCGGGGCCGTGATGTCGGTGCGCTTCGGCCCCCTGACCGAGGCCTCCTTCCATGCAACCGCCGAGGCCTGCCAGAAGGAGGAGTCCCTGCTGCCGGCCGAAGTGTCAGCCACACCCGGGCACATGCCCGTCGAAATGTCGAGCCTCACTGGGCCGGACATTGCCCTGCAGCTGGACGCCTTGAGAGTGGAAGCGTCGGATGTGACGAATCTCAGCTGGGTTCGCGTCCGCCCGAAGAACACCCCGGCGCAGGGCCACCGGGTCCGGCCGCCGACCGACCCGGAGGCCGATCCGCTGGCCGAATACCAAGCCGAGCATCTGGAGCCGATGGACCACCCGCGCGATCGGTCCTGGGCCGAGGAGACTGCATGCATTCTGCCCAAGGTCCTGCAAGGGGCCGTCATCGTCCACCCGGGGACATGGTTCCGAGGGGGAGTCCGCCAGGCAGTGGCCATGCAGCTGGTGGCTCCTGGCTCGGGGTCAGCACCAGCCAGCCCCGGGGCCGAGGGCGACCACCGGATCTCGGCGGAGCTGCTTCTGGCCGAATTGGCCACATTGGATCAGTCGCCGACTCGCGGCAAAATCATTCGCTCCTCGTCAGATGGCTTGGGCGAGATCAAGGGCGTGGCCCAGCGTATGGGCCACCACATTGGCTCGCTGGCCATGAGCAAGGTGCGTCGTGTGCCCTTTAGCTTGGGGGGGGGGGGGGGGACCTCGCCCCTTCGCAGATGGCGGGGGGCTGCCCCGGGTGGCGGCCCCCGGCAGCCGGCCTTTTGCTGGCCCTCGGCACATGCATCCTTATTCACCTGCCGCCGGGCGATGGACCCTCTCGGCCCCCTTAGCGGACCACGCTCACCCTGACGGCCAGCCTGGCTCATGAGGATATCACCATCGACATGCTGTCCAAGTGGAAGGTCAGCCACTTCGCGCACCAGGGCTCCGGTGCCCGTCATGAGGGGGCCCACCATGCCTTCCACGCCATCACCATCTCCGGGGAAAACCACACCGTCGGACTGCCTTCCTCGGTGGTTCGCGCGGCTCGTGTCCAGGGTACGGCGGCCCGCTGCATCGGAGTCAGGCCTTTCGTGGGAGATCCTGGACGCTGACATGTCTGGCACCGTGGCCTGCTTCTTCCCTTGCTCCCACCAATCCTGACCTCAAATGCCGGCCGATGTTGGCCGGCTGTGCACAGTGACCTGCAATGTGCCCTGTCCCCAAGGCAAGGGCAACTGCCTGTCCAGCCCGGATCATTGCCGCTGCATCAGCGGCTGGGATGGGCCTGCTTGCGAGACATGTGCGTCTGCTCCGGCTGCAGGAGCCCGGGCAGGGGGGGGGGGGGGGGGCCGGGAGGGGGGGGGGGGGGGGGGGGGTCGCGAAGGGAGGGGCAACCTCCGCGACTGCGAGCCGCATGCCTCACCATGCTTGGAATGGGCCGGGGATTTTTCATCTCACTCGAGGATCGCCCCCGGGCAGGCACGAAGCCCGAAGGCGGCCCAATGTCCCTCTGCTTGCCTCTGACCGGCAATTTGTCGCGCAATCATCCCCACGACCAGTCTCCTGCCAGCCAGCCTGTGGGCCGAATGGACGATGCTCACTCGAGCGCCAACAGTGCATATGCATGACCGGATGGCGCGGGAAGGATTGCAACACCCGTGCGCATCATGAACCATTGCTTGGCCCCGGCATGTTGAGGCCCGAGGGAGGGGGGCGAGCACCCGTGGGACCAACTTTGCAGGCACCCCCAGCCAATCTGACCCACCTGCCTTTCGACCGAGCCAGCCATTTGCTTGGAACCGTGTGTCAACGGTGCATGCGTGGCTCCGGGGAAGTGTCAATGCATCTCCAGCCAGTACACCGGGAAGCAATGCGAGCGTTTGGGTATGTGCCCGGGAGGGAGATGAAGGCCACTGCCGAATTCATCAAGCGCCAGTACCACACGCGCTCTGCCACACATGTGTCGCCCCATGCCCTGCTCCTTCGCTCTCCCCTCGCCCCCCCCCCCCCCTTGGCGACCGTGCTTCGGGCCTCGACTGACCTCGATGCCATGCGTACCATCGGCACATTCGCAGCCCCGGTGTGTGGGGACGGTAAGTGCGAGCGCCAGTCGGGCGAGTCGTGCGACTCCTGTCCGGCCGACTGTGGCGAGTGTGGCATTGGCGGCTCGGAGCGCATTGTGGTGGCCGGCGTCCGCGGCGGCCCCGATGGTGCTGGCGGCCAACCGGCGCCCGAACACTTGGCCGGCCGCCGGATCCAGGTCCAGCCGAAGCGCCTGCTGTATGACAATGAAGAGTCTTGGCGTGCGGGCACGGGACTGAAGGTGCGCATGCATCACTCTCTCTCTCTCCCTCCCCCTGACGGGGGTGCGGCGCCCGGCCCGAGGAGGGGGGGACTGGTGAATACTCCCCTTTTGGGGGTTGCAGCCTGGCCAGGTTGCCGGAAGGACACAATGTCTGGCTGACCCTCACATCCTGCGATCGATCCCGCCGATGTAAAATGGGCGCGTGTGGCTGCACGCGCGCGCCCGTGTCCACTCGCTTGCGCCCGTGTGTATATGTGTGTGTGTGTCTATGTATTTCGTCCTGTGTCGCGACTGGTTCTCAAGTCGCGCGATCCCCTGGATAACTCGACAACCGCCCTGCTGACCGCCGGTACGGCGGCCCTGCTGATTACGCTCCTGATGAGTGTTGTCGGCATCGGCCTGTGCTTGGCGGGCAAGCTTTCCCCCGGAGGCACGGCGACCGCGGCCGATGCCGGTGGCAGGGCGTCAGGCACATCGCGGACCGGCCGGTCGGCTCCTCGATCGGCAGACCCCTCCTCCGCCGGCCATGCAATCAGCTCGAGCACCAGCATGGGACGCTCGGCCCACATGGCCGAGAGCCTTTCCTTCCGCAGCGGCGGCCGCCGGGCGGCCACCACGGCTGCCGACACGCCGTCGCATCTCTTCCAGCACCAACCCCAGCACCAGCCGCAGCAGTCGCCCTATGGGCCGAATTATGTCGGCTCGGAAGGGACCCCTCCGGTGGGGTCGTCGGCCGGCATGGTCTCGCGCAAGTCTGCCCCGGGCGCCCACGCTCCGTCGCACTATTCCGATTGGGGAATCAACCAGCAGCAGCAGCAGCAACACCGGCCCCAGGCCAGCCATCCTCTCAAGGACCCGGGCCATATGGCCACTGGCAAGCCTCCTGGTCCGGGGAGCCAGCAAGGCGCCCCGGGGGCTCGATCTCTTTCCTGGGGCGTGCATCCGGACATTCCACAAGGTGCGGAGCCTCGCGAGAGGAGAGGCCCGGCTCGGCATTTTTTTGCCCCTCCGCCTACTGGGACAGGGGGGGAGAGAGAGAGAGAGGAAGAGAGGCAGGGGTGCTAATAGCAGCATGCTCAATCGTCCTGGCACCCCAACTTACCGGCATTGCGATCGGTCGCGTCCCCCTCACGCCCTGGCGTATAGCCCGGGAAAATCCCCGACGCATGACCTCCGGATTGGATCCCATCGGGGAGGCGGTCCACCTGGGGGGCATGGGACACCCGCCTCACCTTCAGACGCCTGCGCCCCTCCCCCAAGCGGTGGCCGCCTCGGCAACTGGTCCGGGTAGTGCGCCCCTTCGTCGGTCAGTTACCACGGAGGTCACCCCGCCGGGGATGGTCCTCCCCAAGAAGCCGGTGCTCAGTCGCCACCCGACCACGGCTGGGGTGCCGCCCCCGGCTCTTTCTGGCGGGGCGGTCCAGCCTGCCCATCTGCAGCAGCACCAGCCACTTATGGGCAGCTCTCCGCTTGCGGCCCCTCGGCAGGGACAATCCTTCCCGGAGCTCCGGCGCCACACCGGCATCCCCCTGCCGCCGTCCCTCAGTCGTACATCCACGGTGGAGGATCTCTCGGCTACGGGCGTCTCCATCGGCGGTGGTAGCAGCCACTTGAGGGGCGGCCGTAGCCTCACCTCCAGCGATGAGCCAGATCCGGCCGGCAATGTGGCTGCCACCGCACCAGTGGCCTCCGCATGGGGGACCACGCCCCTGCCGCCGGAACTGCCACCCCAGGCCCGGCCATCATCGGCTTCGCAATAGTGGGCGGGCTCCTTGGGGAAAAGGCCCACCAGGAGAGCCTCCGTGGCAGGCGTCGTGTCTCGGACATGCAGAGAGCGAGCACGCCACCGAGAAAGGGGGAAAGCCCGGCGGAGGGGGGGATCTTCCCAAGATCTGGCCGTTCTCTACTCCACAACATGAGGAGCGGGGGGACGGTCCGGACAAACTGCCCCAAATGCTTCGGGAACCCCACAATCCAATGTCCCTTCAATTAACTATTGAGCTTGGGCCGGGGTGTCTTGTGATACTTTCCGCCGGGCATTTCACATGACGCGCTTTGTCTTGGCAAGCGTGCAGTCCGGTGGGGGCCCGCCTCCGGTCTACGAACATCAGGCGAGTGTGGCGGACGGGGGCGAAGTTGCAACGTCCCAAATATGAGTATTCAAGGGGCGCGGGGCCTTGCCGTCGCCGCCGGGACGGCCGGGCGGGGGGGGGGGCATTTAAGCGTAAGTGAGCATATGTGTATGTATGTGTCTGTCTGTCTGTGTGTGCAAGGGCGCGAGAAGAGAAAAGGAGGGGGGGGGCAGGGGGGAAGGAAAGGCACCAGATATGAGGAAACTATGGCGGGTGAGCAGCGGGCTGGCTCCGGCTGGCTCGGCGCACATCGAGGGTAGGCGGGTCGGAAGCACTCGCAAGGACAATATGTCATGCCAGCTTACACGGCGCGGAGGGGGTCTCGGTAGTGGGGGCAAGAGGAATGCCACTGGAGGCGGTGGACATGGGGCGGAACGCCACTGAGATCTGCCAGCAAGCGGGGACAGCCTTCCGGTGTCAAAGTACATCGGCCGAATGAAGCCCGGGAGGTGGAGCTGGATGGGAGAGGATCCCGGCGACGGGGGCCGGGCCTCTCGCGGGCTGACACCTCACTTCTCGCATGTTCCAGGGGGGTGAGAGGTGCCAGCCATCGGCGGGCGCGGCAGTGATTCCACATGCACGGGCGGGCGAGCGGGCGGGCGAGCGGGCGGGCGGGCGAGGGGGTGGGGGGGAGCCGAAGAGGAGAAGCGCCTGGAGTATGGGCGCTGGTGCACGGCATCCGGAAGACCCGTGTATTCTTCCGGGTGATGTTCGGGGGTGAGACATGCGCACGGTGCACGAAGAACGGGGGGCGGTGGGGACGGGAGGGGGGGGGGGGGTATTGACACCCTGGCGGAGAGACGGTGTCAGGGAAAAAGGACTGCGGGGTACGTAGGGGCCGAGCAGGAACCATGTCGGGCCAGAGGAAAGCCGACAAGGGGTGGGGCCTCGTGCCAGGACGACGATCCCAGGAATGCGGCCGGAGGAGGGTTGGCCGGCCGGGCGGCGGCTGGCCGTCCCGCCGGGGGGGGGGGGGGGGGGGGGGCACCCTCCCCTCCGGGCCGGGGCCGAGGAGGGCGGGGGTGGCGCCGCGGTGACAGCCAGGAACGGCGAGGCCCTTGCCGCGGTGTAACCCCAGGCAGCGGAATAATCCAGGATGACCGCCACGGCCGCGGAGGGGTCTACCCCCCTCACCCCGCCCCGCCCCCCCCCCCCGCTCGCCCTGTCCCTCGGTCGCGGGCCCCCCGGCATCTGGCCGTGGGGGGAGGGGGGGCACCATCGGCAAGTGTGCCGCGTCACTTTCGCCCTGCTCGGGGGGCAGCCGGTGCTCGCACGTCCGAAAGGGAGAAGGCGGCGCCCCTTGGAGAGCCGGACACACGCCCCGGGCCGGCGCCTCATCTCGGCGACCGAGGGCAAGCCAGGCAGACGGCCCCTACGTTTCGAGTTCTGGCGAACTGGAATGTTCACCCGTCGAGGGGAACGCACGGGGCTCCGGGCGCCGAAGAGGCGGGCAGTGTGGGGCCGATGCCTCGGCGGGCTCTCGGCGGAGGATGCCCGCACGGATGTCCATTTTTTTTTTTTGCCGGCCGCCCCCTTCGCCCCCCTCGGCCCTCCGGAGAGAGGGGAGGGCGCAGGGCTGCTCCGGCGTGCCCTCAGCACGGCCCCCACACCGGGGCGGGGGGAGGTAGAGCCACACAGGGGGGGGGCTCCCGAAAAACAGAGGACGGGACTGTCCACACACACACACACACACGCACACACCCGGCTTCGGACACGATCCAGTTCCGTGCCTCTCTTGTTTGCCGGCTCACGCGCCGGTGTCCTGGAGGCGGGGGGCGGGGCAAACGCGCCATTTTTCTGTCCGCCCCGCGCGCACCGCACAACGAGCGGAGGCGTCCCTCGGCCCCCGCCCCCCCCCCCCCCGGTGCCACCGTGCCCAGGGGCTCCGGTTGAAATTCCTCCGCGCCCTCCCCCGGGCGGGAGAGCAGGATGAGAGGCAGCCGGAATAGGGGAGGCTGGGGGGTGGTGGGGCCCCATAGTGTGCCAGCGCGAGCAGGGGCGGGAGGAATTTCCCCGCCGGGGCAAGGCCCCCCATGCAAGAGGAGGCATACCCGGCCCCGCGGGCCGAGCAGCCCCGCCCCCCCCCCGGCCCCGCCCCGCCCGGGCAGACGATATGGCGGCCAATCAGCGTGCTGGATTTGAAATGGGGATTCCAACTTATTACCACCCCCCGCGCCAGGCCGGGGGGGGGGGGGGGGGCGCTGGCCTGGCGGGTGCAATGGAACGGGCAACGGTCGCGCTGCCCCGCCGGAGGATGGTCAGCCCGCCGGGCTCGGGGAAGGGGGCGCAAGGTGCCGGAGCCCTCCTGCATCGTTTGTCCTCGGGCCGGAAAGTCAGGATCCCCGCAGGGGTGTCCTCTTCGCCCTAACCCCCGACACAAACATCCGCATGTCCACCATGCCAGCCTGTCTCTCGGAGAAGATGCCGACCGCCGGGAGGCCCGTAAATGGAGCAATAAATAGTGCCCAATGATGTGTTCCCGGGATAGTGGCTTCTCCCAGGTCAGGATCCCCGGCGCACCATCTTTCCCCCCCCCCGGCCGACGGGCATCTTTAGAACGGGCGGCCCGTGTCGCGTCAAAAATGGCCCCGGCCCGCTGGCCCCCCCTCCCGCGCCTGGGCTGGGGGGGGGGGGGGGGCGCCGAAGGACGCCGGGCCCGGTATTTGGGCCCCCCGCTCCCCGCGCCCCCCCCCCCCCCCCCCCCCCGCCCGGGCCACCGCCCACCCCCCCCGGCCCCGCGCCCCCTTACCGCCGGGTCTCGGGTGTCCTTTTCTTCTCCACTCTAACCCCTCCCAGAGCGTCGACTGGACTCTAAATTCCTGGCCTAGCTGACTCCGCGCCCCGGGCGCCCCCGGCCCCCCCCCCCCCCCCCCGGCGTCCGGTCAGGCCCAGGGTGCGGCGGCCTCCTTCCTCGGCCCCGGTTCCCGCATCCTGTCTCGCCCCTGTCTGCCCAAGACGGGGACGGACGCGAGCCGGGCCCGTCCGGTCCTCCGCCCCCCCCCCCCACTTGCGAGGCAGCTGTGCCGGTCTCCCTGCCAGGAACAAACCCATATTCGCGCGATACAGCCAGCCGCCGCGGTCGGGACTCGAGGGGGAAGGGGGGGGGGAGCGGACCGGGGCGAGGCGGCAAGCGAAGGGGGATTGGTCCGCCAGGACTTCCCTCCTTCCCCCGGAGGAGGGAGAACTCCCGAGGGCGGGGCAGGGGGGTGGGGGGGGCGGGTGCCGGGAATGCAGAGTCCTGCCTTTAACCCACGCCTGCTCCGGGGGCATCGTACCACCCGCTTGGCCGCTTCTTCGACCCCCCCTCCCGGGGAGAATGTGGCTGCTGACCTTTTCCCTTGCCCCTTCTGCTTGGAGATCCCCCCTCCCCGCCTGGTGGAGCTGGCAATGCTCGACAGCCCGGGGGGGGGAGAGAAGGTGACGGACCAACGCACAGGGCGAACTTCACCCCGGGGCCCAGGCGCGGGATGGACAGGTACCGGGGGCCAGGGAGCTGGCCGCGCGCCGGGGCAGATCGGGCGATAGTTTCGGATGGGAGGGGGGGAAACGAAATCAGCAGGAACCGAACACC